CAGGAATGTAAACAGTTCAGTCTTAATAAGTCTCTTATGATTTCTCTTTCCTGTTTACCTCTTCATGTTCAACTTGAGTCCTGTATTTGAAAGTCAAATTTTATAGCTCTGGTCTTTTCATCAGGAATACTTGAAAGTCCTCTATTTCACTGAATGACCATTTTTCCCCCTGAAGGATTATACTCAGTTTTGCTGGGTAGGTGATTCTTGGTTGTAATCCTATCTCCTTTGCCCTCAGGAATATTATATTCCATGCCCTGCGGTCCTTTAATGTAGAAGCTGCTAAATCTTGTGTTATCCTGATTGTGTTTCCACAGTACTTGAACTGTTTCCTTCTGGCAGCTTGTAATATTTTCTCCTTGACCTGGGAACTCTGGAATTTGGCTACAATATTCCTAGGAGTTTTCCTTTGGGCATCTCTTTCAGGAGGAGATCTGTGGATTCTTTCAATTTCTATTTTGCCCTCTGGTTCTACTATATCAGGGTAGTTTTCCTTGATAATTTCTTGAAAGATGATGTCTAGGCTCTTTTTTTGATCATGGCTTTCAGATAGTTGCAGCGGCCTGCGCACCCACGCTGAGGCCTGTGTGCCCACGCTGCGCTGGGCTGTGCTCCCAGCCCGTCTCAATACACCTTTCTGATCAATCATCCAGGTTGTCTTGGGCTGGAAATTTGTTTCACTCTGTCTTTTTGTGGGTTCTGCTGCTTCAGAATTTGTTTAGAGCCATTTTTTATGAGTATTTGGAGGGGTTTGGGGGAGAGCTTAAGCAAGTCACTGCTTTCACTCTGCCATCTTGGCTCTGCCCCTCTAGAACATTTTTCAAAGTATATAATACATCCTTTTCTTTTTAAAGGCTCCACTTGATTTTCCCTCAGTTGTCTTCCTAGATTCATCCTGTATGTTAAAAGCTAACGTAAAAATACAAAAGTTTAAGAATTGGGTACTATGTCATTTCTGGCAACATGATTAATTTTCTTCCCCTAGAAAAAGGGAGGACTAAGAAGAGACCTGTATGTTTCATGGCAGTTGTAAATGCTGTATCTCCTGTTTAGATTGTCTACCATTCATATTTTCAAAATATTAAAAAAACAAAATGAAACCTAAGTTCTTTTTTCTTGGAGACTATTAAAACATCACCATTTGAGAATGACTTGATGCCAAGTTAAAAAGGATAAGGTCAGACATTTAGAGATAAAAAGAAACTCAGAGAAAATCTAGTTCAAAGTTCCCATTTTATACATGAGAAAATGGAGGCTAAGAGCTTAAGTAACTTGCCTGTAGTCACTCAGGTGGTTAGAGGTACTGATGGATGTATATATAGGGGGTGTGTGTGTGTGTGTGTGTGTATCTATATCTACGTCTGTATAGGTATATATAGGTAATTGGTCCATCCTACTGCATAGAGATGGCTTCTGTCTACTTTATTTTTCCATGTGTGAGTAAGCTCTTTCAGTGATTTATGGATCTCATTGAGGGTACTCTGCAGTGGTCTAACACTTGATACAATCAGAAAAATGTTATCCACAAACAGGAATATCTGAAGCATCTTACCTTCTGTAGGGAATCCTTCTTGTGCTGGACACCCTCCATGATGGTAGCAAACACCCTTGACAAGGCTGTTTTATTCCTCAGATATTAATAACTAGAGTTTCCTGAAACAAAATTATCTCTGTTGTTAACATTTTTGAAGGGATCTTGACATATACATGAAAGGCACCCTGTTGGAAGAGAGCCTTTAAGCTGATATTTTGCTGTGTTGAATCAATTGCTTAAAAAAAAATGTCACCCAACAAGCCTAAGGGAAGCTTAGGTGTAAACCTTTTAGTGAGTTCTGTGATTGTAAAGATGTGCTCTCCAACATACCAGACTTTTGGAAAGGCCACCTAGATCTCTGCAAAATGAAGGAGTTGTACTTGATGATCTCTGTGATTCCTTACAGCTCTCAGTCTATGGGCTTATAATCCTAGAATCATGCAGGGTGCTACCAGGTGTTTAAAAAAAGTATCAGCTAATGTATGTTAGTTTTGCATCCTGGTACACACTAAATGTCTTTTCCCTACACATTTGTTTTGAAGTTGGTGAAATAGTATTAGTTGAGAATCTGTGCAACTTTTTTCATCCCAACTCTAACTTGGGGAGGGAGGAATCATGCAGAAAGGGAAAAGGAACAATGCAGTTTCTTTGAATTATAATAAATCTTAATTCGATGTCTCATTGTGTCTTGGAAGGGACCTAAGGTTCTTAAAGGCTTTGCTGGATAAGTGCAAACTTTAGCAGATTCTACTTGATGCAGAGGCTACCAGGACAGATGCAGACTGACAGTCAATTGAGAAGTATATATGTGTCTACTCTGTGTCAGGCACTATGCTAAAGGCTGGGAATACAAAGAAATGGAAAAACTCTGCCACTGAGGAGCTCACATTCTAATAAGGGAGACAACATGTAAATAACTGTGCACATAGAAAATATATACTGTACAGTATAAACTTAAGGTATTCTCAGAGAGAAGTCACTAGCAATGGGAAGGGGAATGGGATGTGGGATGGACCAACCAGGAAAGGCCTCTTGCAGAAGATGACATTTGAACTGAGTGTTAAAGGAGGCCAGCGAAACTAGGAGGCTGGGGTGAGAAGGGAGAACATTCAAGCATGAGAGACAGTCGGTAAAAATGGGAAATGGAGTATCCTGTTTGAGAAACAGTAATTAGGCCAGTGGGCCGAATTGTATAGGAGGTAGAGGGGAGTAAAGTGTAAGATGATGGGAAAGACAGAAATGGGCCAGGTTATAAAGGACTTGAAATGTCCAGCAGGATTTTACATCTGATCCTAGGAGTAATAGGTATCTCTTAGAATTTATTATGAGTGAGGGGGTGTTGACGTGATCAGAACTGTACTTTAGGAAAATCACTTTGGTAGCTGAGTGAAGAATGGATTGGAGTGGGAAAAGACTTGAGGCAGGGAGACCCACCAGAAGGCTTTTATAATCATGTGGTTGTGAGATAATGAGGGCCTATACCAGGATGTGGCTAAATAGAGAGAAGGCATGACAGTAGAAGCAAGACTCTGCAAGACAGACATTGGTTAGTTGAGGTGAGTTAAGTGAGGAGTCAATTGAGGATGAAACTGAGATTGCAAGCCTGCTTGACTGGGGGTAATGCCCTTAACAGTAACAGGAAAGCTGGGAAGAGGATGAAAAGATAACGAGTTCTGCTTTGTACATGTTGAGGTTGAGATGCTTATATGACATCCATTTTGAGCTGTCCAAGAGGCGTTTGGTGATGTGGGACTGGAGAGAGCTCAGGCAAGAGACTAGGTCTGGATATCTGGGAATCAGCAAAGAAGTAATACTTACACCCTTGGAAGCTAGTGAGGTCAAAAAGCAAGCTAAGCTGGCTGGCTGGCTAGATAGATAGATGGATAATTGATTATGTGCTTACTGTGTATCAGGCACAGTGTTAAGCACTAGGATACAAATATAAGCAAGTAAAATACTCCTTGTTCTCCAGGAGCTCACAGTCTAATGGATGAAGACAACCCACAAAGAGGAGTTAACAAATGGGCATTGCAGGTGGGAGGTGGCCTCCGTGGAGGTGCTAATCTGCACACAATAGTGTGTAGCCAGGAAATTCTAGGCAAGATAAGGTAAAACTTTGCTGTTTAGAGCTGAGGGATACAAGGGTAGAATGGTGGGTTGGGGCAAATTAGGACTACAGCCAGAGTACAGGCACTACGCCCACCCCCCACTCCATCATCTGTGAATCAGACTAAATACATTATAGTGAGGGTTGGGTACTAGGTCATGATTTAATTATTATTAGTTTTTGGTAATACTAACTATAGATTGTCTACTAAAGTGTGGAAAGGTTGTGATTTGTGTTGGTAGAGAGGATACATGGATGAAATCATGAATCTTTTTGAAATACGAAAGTGTATGATGACTGCTGTTTGAAATGGTTATAACAACTTGTTTTCATAATCTTGTTCAGAGAAGTCTGAGAAAATCTTTTTGCTCAACTTGAGTATAATGAAGAAATTTGCTGCATAAGAAATTTAACTATAGATAAGTCACCTTACAATATCCCTAAGTAGTCACGAGTCTTGTAAGTTTTCTCTGTAGTTTTACTCATTATTTCTAGTAAAGTGTTAGAAACAGATGTTCCATTTTAGCAGAATTCGGAACATTTTTTGTGCCATGGACCCCTTTGGTAGTCAGTCTGGTAAAGTCTGTGGACCCCTTCTCAGAGTAATGGTTTTAAATAATTAAAGCAAATTGCCAGTGAAGGGTTGGTGAAAATAACAATGTCATTTTTTTTTCCTGTTCAAATTCCTAGACTCCTTGAAATCTATCTTGGGGGTCCACACATCCCTTCTTTATAGTGTGTTTATATGTAAAGGGCCTATAAGATTTCAGTGAGTTCTAAATACTGTTTTCCAGTGGCAGAATAAAGATTTGTCAATATTGGTAAAGCCAAATGAAAGTGAAAAGTAAGAAATTTTGGTTGTTCCTTGGTTTGTCTACAACCAGGGGTGGGGAAACAAGACAGATCCTTTCACTAAGGAGGTTTGTTCTGTGAAGTTTGGATTCAGTCAAAAGGCTGCACTTGAGGACCTAGAGAGCCACATGTGGCCTCAAGGCTGCAGGTTTCACACCCCTGCACTATCCTTTTCCTATTTGGGGAGAAAAATAAACCTCACCTGACAACTCAATATTCACTTTGACATGTGAATATCTATTTTGGGATGGAGTCATAGTTACTTAATGATATTACCTTTTGAGTTGAGTCAGTCTGGTAAATCATTAGAGTGGAGGAGATAGCTTCAGTATTGATATATGTTGATTATTGAGAAACTTATTTATAATAAGATGGTGAAATTCTTTTCTATAATTTTCCCTTTACTCCTTGGTGAGTTACAGGGAATGTTTGAAAGTTGTTTTTTTTTCCTCTCTGAGTTTATTTATTTACTGTGATTTTTTGTAATAAATGTTTGTTCTTTTTTAGGACATTCAGTCAGAAGAAGGCTGCAATTGAGAGAGAATATGCACAGGTAAGCTCTGGGGCAAGATTCCTCAGCAGGCTCATTTAAGGCATTTAAAAATGGCTGCCTGAGGAAATCTGAGTTGCCAGAGGCTGCCCATTATACCTTTGTCCCATGTTTTGAGGGCTATTCCCCATCCCTTGGAAGGCCATCTGGCCCCCTTTCTACCTTCTGTTTATGAGGATTCTTATGAGGAATTGAATATTTCCTTACCAGAAAGTTAGTTACCCCATGCTATGGGAAAAGCCTTCGTTTATTGTTACGTTCTGTGATTATAATTCTGTGACTAATAGCTCTTCCTGTTGTTGCCAGTAATTTCTATGAATGCTAGAATCCTTGGCTTCCAGAAGCTCCATTCTTTTGATATTGGTCTTCCTGCATAAGAGGAATTGGTTTAAATATATTATATTCTGTAATGTTTATTGGGTTTCTAGATCTGTTAGTAGAACTTATAACTACACCTTAGGAGGTGAGTGAGGGATGTTTCTGATAGAATTGCAAGGATTTTCTTTCTTTAAAATTATAGCCTTAATCAGGCCTAAATAGTTAAGTGCTATCTATGCCAGCTGATGAAATTATGTTGTAGGTGTATAGGAGTTAATAAGTATACGTCCTAGCAAGGGAATAGCTTGTTGGAGTTTGGAAGCTTCAGATTTGTCTATCTGGACATTACTTTTCTATGTAGAAGTGTTAAATTTTAAAATCTCCAGCTTAAGCTTGTTTAGACACATTGATTATTTAATTACACCCAATCATAAATAACCCATTTAGTGACTCGAGACTCATTTGATTTCCCAGCTTTTTGTGACAATACACCTATTTGGCAACATTTTACGGAAAATAGAAGGGGAGGCGTGTGTATATGTGTTTATATTTATAGACTGTCATCATGACTTTAAAATTTAAGCTTTTTGCTGCTGCCCCAAACAAACACTCATTAAAGGAGTTAGAAGTTTTAACATGGAAAGCAAAAACAAGATTGGGACTTAATAGTCTTCAAGTGTAAGGTAACATACTATATGGAAAGAGAAGAGCAACTGATTGCTTTTTATTAGGGGCAGATTAGGAAAATAGGAATAAATTTGTAGTGTTAAGGATTCTGTTTAAATGTCAGAGACTTCGGACAATATAAATTTTATGAGATACAAGAAATAAAGAAATGATCATATATATAAAAGAGGAGAAGAAAGTTGGATAGCATTCACATTGGAACCCCAGTATTAGTCCTAATTATCATAGACTCATAGATTTTAGATCTGGAAAGGGACTTTAGAGATCAGCTAGTTCAGTCCCCTTACAGATGAGCCAGCTGAGGTAGTGAGGCCCAGAAAGGTTAAATGACTTCAAAGGTCACATTAGTTAGTAGTAAGTGATAAGAGTTGCAATTTGAAATGCCTCTGAACACAACCCTTTTTACTACACCATGTTGCTTTGTAGTATCTCTGCAAACAGCTGGTACCCCAACACATCTGGAAGTGACTCATTCTATTCTCTTTTGCTATCATTATTCTCTCTTTTTAGATGGAACCCCAAACCTTAAAAGAATTAAAATACAGGAGAGGGAGGAATAGTGATCATCACATTTAAAGACAGGACATCTAAGGAGAAAGTGTGTCAACAGAAGGAACAACCCATCTCTTATCTGAAAGAAGAAAAGATTAATGCTATTTTAGCTTTAATTTAATTTGGTGTTTGAGTTAAGATGGAGGTTCAGATCAAGATAGAGCTATCTAGGTTCTCAGCCATTTCGTCCCTAGATCGAGAGGTGGAAAGGACCTCAGAGGGGATCAGTAAACTATGTACTAAAAACTGTGCAGAGATTTTTTTTTATCCTTGAATAAGTAACAAGAGATCAGAATTCCTGACATCTAACTGTCTGCATTGCAGGGGTGAGCGACCTACAGTCTTGAGGCCACATATGGCCCTCTAGGTCCTTGGGTGCGGCCATTTACCTGAGTCCAAGTTTTATAGAACAAATCCTTTTATTAAGGGGATTTGTTCTGTGAAGTTTAGATTCAGGTCAAAGGGCAACGCCTGAGGACCTAGAGGGTCACATGTGTCCTCGAGGTCACAAGTTCCCTATCCCTGGTCTACAATATAGCCTCTTAACTTGAAAATGAAGTGAGGAAGGAGGAGCTCCAAAATAGTTGTCACAGTGTTTTACCATTACTTAGCTTCCCTTGGTCCTCAGGAGAGATCCTTAAGTCCTTAGTCAGAGCCTTATTTTTTTCCTTAGCACACAGTTCTAACAGCCTTGGTTATCTGGGTTTATAACCCAAGGCAGAAAGTGTAAGTAGACATGTGTTATATAATATGTTGCAGATGAGGAAAATCGCAATTGTCCATTAAGATGAAGGCATATGCTAAGATGTCTGAACTCAAAATCATCATTTTGGCATGGAGGCAACCCATCACAAGCTCTGCCAGAAGAGCACCAAATTTGGGAGGTCCTGCTAAGATGCTAAGTCTTCAGGGGAGGGCATGGTGGACTTAGGTGGTGGCATGAATAGTCATAGAAGGGCTCAGCTCCCATGCATGTACTCCAGCCAAAGAGTTAAAAAAGAGCACTAGACTGAATAATGATTAAGAAATCCCAAAACAAAGTAAATTAAGTCCTGTCTAGCCTAGGACTGTGCAAAAGGACAACAAAAGATACTAGACAAGGGAGAAAGAACACAAATAAGTCAGCAATGTGTCAGTATGGACTAGAGATGCCCTGGGAGAATCTGAAGCCTGCAGCAAGGACTCTGGACCCAGGAAAACTGTATTCCCCAGATGAGAAACTGCAGGGTGATGGAAAGCCATAGCCCTCTGGCAGCAGTAACTGAAGGACACAGGGCTAGAAACTGTCAGTCTTCCAACTGGGATTGCCCCTCTATTGCCAGAAGGTTTCAGCACTCAAAACCTTGAGGGACCAGGGGTCCTGAAACCTGCTGTTTCTCTGAATACAGAAATACTGGGGGAAGCAGAAGCCAGCAGCATGGTGTAATGGATAGAAAATGGGGGGAGGGGCAGGAATATCTAGGCTCAGATACCAGCCCAGACTTTAACTAGATGTGTGACCCTGGGCAAATCACCACACCACTCTGCTCTGGTTTCTCATCCATAAAAAATGTGAAGTTTGGACTCAGTGGCCTCTAAGATGTCTCTAAGGTCCCTCCCATCTTTAAGTCTAGATGTTATGATCCTCTTTGAAAATGAAAGACAAGCAACAGCAACATCTCTAAGTCTGTGATCATACTATGAGCCTATGAAAATGAGGTCAAGATCAAACAAGGCTCTACCAGCCCATCCAAACGCACAGTTGGCCCAGAGACAAAAGTACCAAATCGTAAACTAAGGCTAGAACTATGAAAAAACAAGATGCCAAATATGAAGAAATAGCATGGATCTAGAGATACCCAAGAGACAAACTGAGATGAAGAGAACAACTCCAAAATAATTACAAACCCAACTTTAAGAAAAAATTAGCTTGGTCACAAGCATGACAAAAAGTATTTATAATTATAATTCTGTAGTAATTATAATTATATAGTAATTATAAGTGAAATAAGTTCTGGCAGAAAGAACTGGAAGGAGAATAAATAACTTACAAAAGAAAGTAGAAACTCTTACCCAAATAATGGACTCTCTGAAAATTAGAATAAACCAAATAGAAATCAGTGATTCTACAAAACAAGAAAAAATTACATTAAAATCAAAAGATGGAAAAAAATTAGAAGAGACTTTCAAAAACAGCTCACCCAAAAAATTTGTCAAGGAGAGATTAAAAATCATCAGACTCGCCTTGGAGTCAGGAGGACCTGAGTTCAAATGTGGCCTCAGACACATGACACTCATTAGCTGTGTCACTCCAGGCAAGTCACTTAACCACAAATGCCTCACCCCCCCCCAAAAGAATCATCAGACTCCCTGATAACTATGACCCCCCCCAAAAATGCCTACATAACATATTTCAAGGAATCATAAATGAAAACTGTCCAGAACCCGAGGGCTAAGTGAAAAAAGAAAGAATCTACTGGTCACTTCTTGAATTCTTTATAACTCTAGCATTTAGCCCAATGCCCGACACATAATAAATGCTTATTGACTTGATTAAAATGAAGGCTCTCAGGAATATCATAGCCAAAATCTAGAGATTCCCAGTGAAAGAACATATTGCAGGCAGTCAAAAAGAAGGGTTCAAATACCCAAGAACTCCAGTCAAGATCACAGCAGACTTGCCAGCTAATCTTGTAAAGGACAAGAAAATTTGGGATATGGTATTACAGAAGGAAAATGATAAAGTTTATTACCAAGAGTAATTTACCCTGCAAACCTGAATATAGTCTGGGGAAGAATACTGGGGAAAAATGTAAGGTTAGTAGAATATTGAACTTTCACATATTTTCAATGAAAGACCAAAGTTTAGTGGAAACTTTGAAATGCAGAGGGAGGAATTAAGAGAAACTTGAAAAGGTAAATCAGTTTGAGCCATTGGAAAGTACTATACAATCATAATGTGCTTATATTCTAATAGAGAGAGGAGAAACAGATATCCCTTCAGAACCCTGATGTCTTCAAGGGTCACATAGGGCATTAAATTAGATAATCAGAGGGCCGAGGGGTGAGCTGGTTCTAATAGGAGTTATATTCTAAAAGTCTGTGTTCTCATTTTCTACGATAAATGCTATGATGTAAATGTTATAGTAAGAACTGATGTTCTAAATAGGAATACTTGGGGGGAGGAATTAAAGTGTTTAATCAAAAATGAAAAGGTTGGAAAGAAGCCTAGCCAAAATACCCCATTAATCTGAGGAAGGAGAAAATAGGGACAAATTGACAATAAGTGATCATGATTACCAGCTCCAATATCATACTCACGTTGTTCCATGTATATCAGTGGTCATCTCTTGGACTAGATGATCTCAAAGATCCTTTCTACTTCTAAATCCAATAATCTTTCCTAGTCTTTCAGCAGAAGCAGCTGAAATTTTCTTACAGAGCTCTTTTTCACATCCTGTAGGACA